TTTCTTTCACTTAGCATAACAAGTTCAAAACTATTGTTTTGATAATCAGTGGTTTCTTTTTTATGAATATACTACAATTTGTTTATCCATTCACCTGATGGTGGACATTTAATTGTTTCTAGTTTTCAGTCATCATCATTAAAGGAACTTTGAACATTTTTATACAAATCTTTTTGCAAAAAAGTTTTAATTTGTCTTTTAATAAACCTGTTTTGTTGAATGGAAAATGTATGTTTAACTTTACAAGAAACTACCAAAATGTTTTCCAAAGTGGTCGTACCAGTTTATACTCCTACTGGCAAAGTAAAAGGGTATTGGTTTCCCCATATTCTTGCCAAGATGGGGTATGATTAGATGTTTAAATTTCATTACACATTAAATTTAGGAGACATTTCAAGTAAATTCTTAAAAATGGTGTGAGGTAAAGGTCAAGGTTTATTTATTTTCCCAGGATAAATTGTTCAACAGCCTCACCTCTCTACATTGGGAATATTCGTCCTGTAGTTATTTTTTCCTAGACTCCATACTGGTCCATTGATCTATATGTTAGTTCTTAAGTCAAAAGCAAATTCTTGTTTAATGTAGCTTTATAAAAACTTTGAAATCAGGTAGTGTACGTCTTCCAATTTTGTTCTATTTTTTCAGTTGTTTTGGCTATTAGATTCTTTGCATGGACACATAAATTATACAATCAGCTTGCCAATTTTGTACAAAAATCCTTCTGAGATTTTGATTAGAAATGTATTGAATCTATAGACAAATCTAGAGAGAATTCACCTCTTAACAACACTGAGTCTTCTGAACTAAGAACGTAGACGCCCTCTCCATTTTTAAAAGTCTTCCTTTATCCCTTTTTGCAATGTTGTACAGCTCTCAGTGTACTGGTTTTGCAAATATTTTGTTAAATTTATCATTAATTATTCGTTGTTTTAATGCTATAGCAAATAGTACTTATTCATTTTATTTTCCAATAGTTCTTTGCAAAAATAAAGAAATCCAGTTGATTTCTATATTGACTTGGTATCCTGAGACTTGTTTAAATTCTCTTACTAGATTTTAGTGTATCTCTTTGGATTGTCTACATAAACAATCATATCATCTGTAAATAAAGACAGCTTTACTCCTTCCTGTCCAATCCACATGCCTTTTATTTCTTTGGCATGTCTTCTTGCCCTGATTAGCACTTTCTGTACAATGTAAAACTCTAGTGTTGAGAGTAGACAGCTTTCCTTGTTCCTGATCCTAGGGAGTGACTCATCCAATTTCACACTAAGTATATTACCTGTAGATTTTATTAGATTAAAGAAATTCCCTTCTAATCCTAATTTACTGAGAGTTTTTAACATGAATGTGTGTTTAAGTTTGTCACATGTTTTTCTATATCTATTAAGATCATACGTTTTTTTCTCTCTTTTATTCTATTAATGTTGAATTATATTGCTTGATTTTTGAATGTTAAACCAACATTATATTCCTAGAATAAACTTCACTTTGTTAAACTTATTATCCTCCATCTCTATTGATGTATCGTTCCATCCCTTACTGTTTCTTCTTTTAAATTTTTATTTTTGAAGTCTCTATCAACCATACATCACAGAGGCATTGTACTCCTACACATTTCTAATGCCTTAATACTCTTCCTTTCATATGTAGAATTTCAATCTGGAATAAATCTTTGTATGTGGTGTTAGGTAGTGATCCATTGTTGCAATTCTCCATATGGTAAACTAGTTTTTCAAAACTGTTTAGGAATTTGTGTTTTTCTCCCCATTGATTTCTGCTGCCACCTTTATTGTATATTATGCTTTCAAATATATGAGTCAGTGTCTCTGTTGCTTATGATGTTTCATTGATCTGTTTTTCAATCCTTATAAGAAAACCATACTGTTTTGTTTCACTATTTTACTATGGCTATGTATCACATCTTACTTTCTCATAAGATTATGCACCCCCTCCCACAAACTTTAATTTTCTTTTATAAATTTACTCTGTTCTTCCTGGACTTTTATTCTTTGATGTAAATTTTATATTAAGTTTACTGAGTCAAACAATAAATCTAACTGGATATTTTAGTGGAATCTCATTGTAATTATAGACTAAATTGAGAGATAATTTACATACAAATAATATTTAATCATCTCAGCCAAGAACATGGGATTTTCATTTATTCAAATTATCTTCTTTGTACTTTCTTCATATTCTAAACTTTTCTTATGAGAGGTCTTATTATTTTTGATTAAGTTAGTTCTTACATACTTTATACTTTTTATTGCTATTGTGAAGTGAATTTTATTTTTTACTTTTAATTTCTAGGTGATTACTGTTGGTGTTAAATTTTTACTAGTATTTGCTAGTATTTAAACTGATACTCATACTAGTATCACATATAAATGCCACATATTTATATATGATAAACATTGCTGAACTTTCTTAAAAATATCAATAGTTTTATTTACTAGTTTTATTGGTTTTTCAAAATGATAAGCATATTATCTGAAAACAATGACATTTTAATTTTCCTCTGATTTTATCATTTTATTTCCAGTAAATTCATTTAAATTTTTAAGTTTTCCTCAGGTATCCTTTCACCTGCTTCTTCCATGTTTTAATATATTGGACTCACATCATTAGTTATGAATAGTTTGCAACCTCCATTTTCATTTACTCCATAATGTGTTATTTAAAGGTGTATCTGTGAATATGTGTGTGCATGCATATGCTTACAGGTGTTTGGGTGTTTTAATTAACAGAGGTATAGAGTTTTATTGGACCAAAAATTTGAGTTGATAATTGTTTTTAAATTGTTGTCAGAAAACATGGTGCGAATGACAATTTCTAAAAATTTATTTTGATTTGAGTGACAAAAGGGGTGGAATGTTCTGGTTATTCTCCATTATTTCCCCGTATGCAGTCTTTACCTTTCTCTGTGCTACCTTATGCCTTGGAGATTCATCTTTACGGACTAAGCCACTCAGGATCCCTGACCTCCAGCTTCTCTCTAGATTTGTAAAATGGGAGATATTGGCAAAAGATTAGAGTGAAGGAGGACAGAGAGAGGCAGGGGTATTTATTCCCTACTTCTTCCCTGCTTAGCCACAATTCTGCTGTGTCTGCATTGCTCCATGGCCACAGCTCCTGAATGGGCTCCCCTTGACATCACTCATCATCAAAGACCAGGCGCATCATTTTCTCTTACCGACTTTTCAGGCAAAGAACAGTAATTCCTCCCTGCTCTTGCTGGTTGCTGGGTGTCTCACTGTCCTTTATTGATTTCCCTAGCTCTGCCCACATGCCTGTAAAAAAAATTAGCCTTTTTTCGGTTAAATCCCTTTTGAGTGTGCCATTTGTTTCCTCTCAAAACTCATACTGATCCATACTCAACGGGAAAGGTCGAATAAAATCATGATAGCACGATTTAGTCATCAAACACTTGATTAAAAACAATAACACAAAGGAGAGATGACAAATTTCATTCCAACATCCCATCTCCTTAAGCCTTCTCTACACATGTCAGGCAAGCTGTGGCACCTCAGGCTTAATGACTATGGGCCATTATTGAATTCAGGCTTTAAGTAACCAACTCAATGCTGTCAACAACACTCCTAGGTACTCACATTAATATAATAAATATGAAATCTTAAAGGTTTACCTCCATCTGTATATATTTGGCTTGATCCATCCCTTTGGAATGTAACTTGACAAGGTCCTGAAACTCTTTTGCTGCATTTATTACCTCTTCCCAGAGCAATTCTTTTACTTCTGTGTTTGGAATTTACCTTCTTGGTAAGGCATTGGAAAGTGGTGCAGGAGGTTGTGAGAAGAAAAGGCATTCATATGTAAGTCAACTGCGCCAGGTAATTTCACCAAAGTCTTTGAAAATTTTCTTTTTTCCCCAAAGGAAGGCTAGATCAATCAAATGATGAGACCTCCTTCCAGAAGGATATGAAGATTCAAAATTCTCAGATTCATCTTTGTCCAAATATCTTTATCCAAGATTCCAAATTGTACTTTTTGCCCAGCCAATACCTTTACATAGTATATGAGCTTGGTTTGGTGTCTATTGCAACTCAGAAATGTGTATATTCAGAACTTATGTCTGGCTTTCATCCATGCCCTGTCTGTAGCTAAAAAAAGAATGGTTTCCCTTAGGACCGCCTTAGAAGCTTTCTGATTCTTTGACCATGCCTTGAGTTAAGAGGTTAAATCCTTAAGCTTCGTTTTTTATTCTTTTTGTAAGCTCTTTAGTACAGTTAGAATCAGTTGCTCCACCATCACATCCAATGTAATCACCATTATCACCATAGCAATTAAGTACCTCAACCACTTGATCTCCCTTCACCTTGACCTCCACCTGTAATTCACTCTATATCTTCACCAGTGATAATTTTAATAACTGCAATCATGGGTTATCAGTGTCCTCATGGAGATTAAGTGTGTATTACTCAAAAATATGAGCAGTTTTATTCTAGAATTCCATCTTTTAGGGTATAGGGGTTGACATCCTTGGCACCAATAATTCTGTTAGTTAAAGTCCCTTCAGGAAAGGGATGGTACACTGTAAAGGGACAATTTATAGACGTGTGGGCTACATTCGGTACCACCAAGTGATGATTAGATAATCAAGTACCAGAGGCAGTGGAAATATGTTATCTAGGTCTGAAGGATCAAGGAGAGAAATTGGAGTTACTAGATGCTGGCGAAAGAAAAATGTACTATCCACAGGGGCTATAGCCTTAGAGGAGTATAGCCCCTGACAGTCGTATCAAAGCAGGAAGGTGTACAAGACCAGCCCGGTGGCGCAGTGGTTAAGCGCGCATGTTCTACTTCAGCAGCCCAGGGTTCACAGGTTCAGTCCCAGGTGTGGACATGGCACTGCTTGTCAAGCCATGCTGTGGAAGCCATCCCACATATGAGGTAGAGGAAGATGGGCACAGATGTTAGCTCAGGGCCAGTCTTCCTCAGCAAAAACAGGGGGATTGGCAGGAGTTAGCTCAGGGCTAATCTTCCTCAAAAAAAAAAAAAAAGTAGGAGGGAGTAAGGAGAAATAAACACTCAAACTTCTCTCTCTTCTCATCCCCTGTTCTCCTGCTACTTTCTTCCAACGGCTTAACCCAACAAAAATTCAGAGGACATGGAAGCCTGCGTGATGAATTCTATTTTGGTCAGCTTCTACGGTCACTGGGGAGGAGAGAGAAAGGTATGAAATGGATCTGTGTGGAAGTGTGCTGAATCTATTTGGCCAATCTACTTGGTAGAAGTTGGTAGCTTTGCGGGGCTGGCTCCGTGGCTGAGTGGTTAAGTTCGCGAACTCCGCTGTGGCCAAGGGTTCAGATCCTGGGTGCGGACATGGCACCGTTGGTCAGGCCATGTTGAGGCTGCGTCCCACATCCCACAACTAGAAGGACCTGCAACTAAAAAGATATACAACTATGTACGGGAGGTTTGGGAAGATAAAGCATTAAAAAAAAAAAAGAAGAAGAAGATGTTGGTAGCTTTGACACTGCTATGTGAGAGAATAGGATGGTGAGAAAGTATTAGACACAATGGTGTACCAGTTGTAGTAGTGAAATGGTCTGACAGGTAAGGTCCCTCACCAGTGGATATTCCAAACCTGAATGCTTTGCACTCCACCCAGGCATTACCAGTCACTCAGAGAATCGCTTCTCTCGTCCCCTCAAGGTCCTGTACTTGCTGGTTCTGCTTTGAGGCAACTATCTCTAATACTGCCTCCCAGCCCCAGGTGAGGTGAATGCTCAGAATTGAACCAGCCAGATGTCTTCACTGAGATACCCTAATTGACCAAACTGTCAGGTGCCTCTATCTGCCCCCCTGGTCCTAGCTGTCACCACCTCTGCACATAAGACACCTCATACACAACTCCTAATCTTCACAGCAGCATTTCCCACACATGTCCTTGGCTCTGATTTCCCTCAAAATATGGTCCCGTGCTCTCTTTCATCGGTATTGCATACTTTCTCTTCCACAGAAAGTCCTCCCTTATTGCTTTTCTCCATGGATAAATATTCATTTATATTTTTTCTATCATTTCTAAGAAGTTTAAATTTAACAAATATTCTTCACTATATCCTCAATCTGCCATCTAGACACAGATGTCCTCAATGCTACTAATATCCTAATAACTTTACCATAAAATAGAATGTCTTGGATTAGGAAATAGGAAGACCTATGACAGGGAAAACTCATCAGCTGTTCAGCTTCTCAATTTTCTTCAACTGTTCATGTATTCAAGTCATGCTTACGTGGGTAGGCATCAATCCAGAGGAAAAGCAAGTAACAGATATTTGTTTAGCAACTACTTTTGTAAGGTCCTGTGCTCATTGGATTGAAGAAGGTGATTGCTTTACCCCAAAAAGTACACAATGAAAAGGTGACAGTATTTATTTTTCTTAACAAACACAATTAGAGGACAAATGTTTCATAACCTGAAAAATCAAACAGGCTTAGGACAATCTGTTTACCCTAAATTTAGGGTAATCTGCTTGCTGATACAACTTGAAAACACACTTATCCTTTTCAAATCTGCAATATTGATAGTCCATCTTTGGGTGATAGTTTCCTATATTCGTAACACTAGTTCTAACATATCTAAATTCTGACATGGCTGCATTAGAAGCTCAGGCAAGACACCTGAAGGTAGGGGTTAGTAACAGGCAAATTGAAGGATATTGTATAAATATGCATCATATTTTCTGAATAGTTTCAAATAATTCTATATTGCAATAAACAACCTCACATTCCAATACTAAATAATATCTAGTACAAGAGAAATACAGAGCTGAATTCCTGTGCTATGGACTCTCACAAATTGCTGACGCAAAGTAGCTTTCCAGTGAGCACACTCCCTTGAGTTGCCTTAATCCTAACCATCCTTCAAAGCCAAACTCTAAACTCCTTTTCATCATGAATTTCTCTCTGGCAAGTGTAGTTCACAGCAGTCATCTTGTCCTCCTGATGCCTAACTTTTTTTTCAGTTCCACTCATTTGGTATGCTAACCTTATACAATTCCCACCATTTTTGTGCTTTTAACAACTTGACATTAGTGTACCTTTCATCATAAGTTTCTAAAGGGCAGCCAGATAGTACCTGACATGTTAACGTGTGCATTGCAAGTGCACAAATGTGTGGTAAAGAACAGAAGAATACTATTTGCCTCTCCTACCTTTCTATTTATAGTTGGTAGGAACTGTAATTCAGGTTTTCTTGGACATTAGGTTATATTTTCCCCAAAATATTCTCATAAAGTAAGTTTAAATTTATTTTTTATATATCCTCAGTGCAATTTATGAATTAATCTTTACTAGAATCTACCACTTATTTGCCAGCTATGACTGTGATCTTTACTTCATATCTGAGAAGATGTTTTCAAAAGGGGTAGACACACATCCTATCTCCTACTTCACCCTTTCCAACTGACCTCAGTGAAGTTGCACCATCTCTTGCCCATAGCAATACGACTTTTACCTCACATTTTTACTTCTGAATATATCAAACCCAAAATTTCACTAAAGAATACCTAATTCTACTCCCTAATATTTCCACATAGTTATTTTTTCTCTGCTCTTAGATTATGAGCTCTAGGTTTTAAAACTATGTTATCTTCTTTCACACCGTCCCTTCTTGTACTCTCTTATGTGTGCTTTAATATACAGGTGGATTAAAAGGCACTTTTCATAAATACAGAAAGCTTTCAGTCACATCAAATGGGACACATAATAGTTTCTAAGAACGCACCTATGAGTTTATTTTCAGCCAGGGTAAAGTTTGGAGATACCATGTTAACAATTACCTCAGTTACTGATCTGACCCGATGGTTAGTAGCCCAATGATCTACTACTTTTTTGTCTTCATCCCCTTCATCTTTCTCATCAGTCCTTTCTTGTCAGTCAACATACAGTAGGATATTCCTATAGCTGAAGTTTCTGCTTTGGGGATCATTAAGTTGTCATCCAAATAATTTAAGGACTTCTTAGAATCTATTTGGCTATAAGATATAGCTTGATAATTACAGCCATGTAAGGCAGCTAAATGTTGAGGGTACCTTGAAAGCTGGTCTCAAATCTATTATTTCATTTCCTTCCAGTCATACACATTAGAATGGTCCAAAGGATGGCTCACATTTTCTTTATGTATTGCCCTTTAATTATACTGTTATTTCATCTCTCATATTTCTTTCTGCCATTGATACTAATAGCCATGTCTGAATTGTTCTCTCTAACGCTATAGGTAGATACTATCTGAGAAAAGAGGCACGTATAATGTTCCATTTTAATACTAGTTGGAAAAATGAATACTTCCTTTTTGAATCCTTGATTTACTGTGACATCGGCCATTTATTATATTTTTTGTTGTCTTCTCACTTCCAACTTCTTGCATCCATCTTTCACTCTCTCTATTTTCAGGCTCCCTTGTCCCATATATTTCCTTTTCCTATAATACTTTGTTATAAGATAAACACCACTCAAGCTGCTGTGTTACCCTTATGGGGGCATTTGCTATATCATTCTCCTGCAAGCAGAAATTATTTAAGACAAAAGAATAGATGACCAATGAGAAAAAATGTGAGACTGAAACAGATGACGAGGGAAATCTTTTGTCCTGAGAGATTATTTTAGATCTTTAAATCATATCATAAAAGAAGCACCCTAGTCACAGTAGGATTTGAAGAATAGTGTTTTGATGCGAGAAATCCATGTGGAGGAGGCTCACGCATCCAGAAAAAGAAGGTCCCACAGAACCTGCCTTTGTAGACTCAATCATGAGAATGGAAGAAATGTCCCTTCCACCTTCAAAGGAAAGTCTAGCATGCCCAGTAAAATTATTACTTATTGTGTCTCAAAATACAGGCTTCTGACTTGCTATCAGAAATGTTCTAACCATGTTGTTTGTGATTTTAATTAGTTTTCCCAAAATATGACAAACTAAATTGAATAAATCAAACTGACCTTTAAATTTCTAGAATTATAGCCTATTTAAATGTCCATAATGCTGCAATAATAACCCAAGTTAATAACCATTTCACTCTCCTCCCTGAGAGGTTCTCTGGGTGATACACAATGTTATTAATTTTGGCGTGATTACAAATTATTCCCATAGTTCAGGTTTAATACAGTATTGATGTTGTTATTAATATAGATTTGTCAGTAAAAATACAAAACTGAGCCAGTCCCAGATAATGTCAGTTTTAAGGTTAAAACGTAAAAAATAAAAAAAGTACTAGCTTATGTTGAGGAAAGTAGGGAAAAGCCATGATACCAGAGTTTCATTATAAGGACATTTGGCTTAGTATGAGAAAGGATTTGGAATGATAAAACGAACAAACAAAAAACTCACTGTAAATCTATCTATTAGCAACTTAGGTTTTAAAAAAGGCATCTAGTGGCCATTTCTATATTTTTCAAAATTTCTTAGGGGATTGATTAAATCACAGGACAATTCTATAAGTATTGTCAACAGTAAGTTTAAAAGGTTAATCGTCAGGGTTGAGTAAGGAATATAATAATTTGACTCACAGTACACTATTTTGTGAAGCATGTGGGACAACAAGGCAAAGTAAACTAGCTATAATATGTGACTTGGTGTGAAATAAAGAAAATTAAGATGTGTGAAAACTGGTATGGTAAGGCAGTCTAGTACAGCGGTGAAGAGTTCTAGCTGAACCTTTGTAAACTTAGATTTCAGCTTCGGCCTTGCTTTTGCTGGTTTTGTTAATTACTAAGCATATTTGTTCAAGATACTTCATCTGAAATGTTACATTAAAAATATTACTTATCTCAGAAAGTTTGCGATCAGTAAATAAGGTAATGCATAAAAAGTGTTTAATGATATCCAGCCCATTTACGTGGCTCTTGTAAATGTTCAAAACATGTAAGTTTCTGTTAATAGGCTACCATAATGTACAAAGCAGACAACATTATATTTTCATACTTGGAAAGTAAAGTAATTTACATAAGGACTCACAGTTATTGAAAATTTGTGATGGGATTGAAACTATGTCATTTCCAATTACCAAATCAGTTACCATAATGTCCCATCTGCTTTGACTGCTGTCTAAGGCATGATCCCAGGTAAAGTGTATATGGAGTTTGATTTTTAAAATTTTTTAATACAAATTAAACCTCCCAGATTTCTGCTTTCAGTAATTCAAAGCAACCACCCTTAGAACAGAGCAATTAGAAAAGCTGGACATTCTGCTTAAAGATATCAGACAGTTACAATGAAGTGGAAATTTATGGGTCAAATATTGGGAGAACAGAGCAATTTAGAGAGGTTAAACCAGCATCTGGGTCTGCTTTGTTCTTGGAAGGGTCTACTGATGTTAGAAGAGTCCGTGGAGAAGCTACCTGATACTATTCTTTCTACTTTTGTATGTATTTGAAATTTTCTATGATACATAAAATTTAAAAGAAAAAATCAAGACAAACTTTCCATGAATGTACCACAACCTACCTTTTTGACTCCATCTCCTAATGCTCCTTGACTGATTGGTCCTTAAACGTTATTTACTGTTTCCTTTGCCTGGAATGTTCAATGTTGATTACTCTACATAACAAAATTTTGTCATCTTCAAACTCCAAAGTCATATCCTTCATGAAATCAGGATAGCAACCCAAATGAAAGTAGCCTCAGTGTGTTCGCTTGCCACTTACTTTGACCGTCCCATAGCAAAGAACTTATTCTCTTATCTGTGTGAATGTTTGAATATACGCCTGTCACTTCACGAGCATTTTAGATTTCTTAGAAAAGGGACTATGACTCTCATATTTTTATTCCTCTGCTATGGCAAACACAGGGGTGAATTAATTTTTTGAGACCTAAGTGTAGAGAATTGCTTTAAGTTGTAAAGAATACAAAAATCCAACTAGAAACTTGGTAGTGTGTCTTGGAAGGCTTATTCAAGTTAGGGCCCCTAAAGCTCAGCTTCAATAGCTCTGTAGTAAATCCATCTGTGGTGAAGCTCAATGCACCAAGTGTTTGATTTCCCAAAGTAAATCCTCATTAACGGGTCCATGTTCATCAATGTTTTAAAATGTTTTCTATGTGATATTTGAGACTTTCTTCAATTCTTCCATACTTAGACCTCAAAATAATACAAAACAGAGGAAGTGGTACCATTGGCACCTACACCTTACATTCTCGGATCCCTCATATCTCTTGTAATTTTTTTCTTTAAATGTGATTAAGTCTTGGATTTGTTGCCCCAAAGAATAAGATCTTCCTTAGAAAAGTTAATCTATAAATGCAGGGTAAAGCAGGGCGTAAAAAAGATTCTTAATCTGTATTTGATTGTTGACAAATTTTAAGCCTCACTCCTCCCTCTTCCCCTTCTGCCCCACATCTGGGCAGGCTGGTGAGAAAGCCTGGGTTATCTCTTCTTTTGCTTCATTTGAGTTCAAACAATACAACCCCCAGCACCTACGTGGATAGGACCCCTCACTCCAGCCCCCTAACCACAGTAAAATCCCAAGCCCATCTTCTTTCCCAACTCTCAAGCCATTTTCTTGACTGGCTGGGAGCCTGTTCTGCTCTCCCCAGAAAGCCTCATATGTGAGCATTAAACCTTTTCATAATTTCTTGGTGTGTGTGTGCATGCGGCATCATCAGTCTTGACATTCAAATCCAATTTGGGGGAATAACGGTCCATTTCATTTCTATAGCATGGCCACAACATGGGAAAATTTCCTCAGGAAAATAGGAAAAAGTGAGTTGTCGGATGGAGACAAGAACATGGAGTACATTCATGGAAACTGCAAGAGATATCATTTGAGAAGCAGAATATTGGAGGTCAGAAATTTCAGACAAAAATATATGGATTTCATCATTTAAGCAGTAGGAATTCATTGAAGAAACTTGACTAGGAAAGCAATATGATTCAAATATGCTTTAGTAAGATGGATTTGACAACTGTGTGCTAGTTGGTAGTGAGAGGGCTATGATTTCTCTTGTAATGGGGATGGATACAAGAAAGATCATGGGGACTTTGACAACATAGAGCCTGGGGGAAAAAGTAATAGGATTAGGGGAACCTCCAAGTTGCAGATGCTGGCTCCAACAAGGGTAACAAGTGTCTTAATGCCCAGTGTTCAAAGGGCACATTAAGCTAAAGCGGGCCTGGTGCAATCACGTGGGTAATATCAGGGTGGTACAAACAGGGACACAAGCAGTTATCCAATAAAAGTGTTTAGTGTCACAAGACCTACCCATATGCAACAAGTTTCACAATAATGATCTGAGGTATAGTGACTAGGATCCAGACCTGAAAAGGTAAATTTCCACAAGCCAGACTTGGTCTAAATCCCCTAACATTAGACTCCTATCCTATACAGTGTAGGGATCCAGGCAGACCAAGCAGTGAGACTGTTAGTAGTATATCTAAGCAGAATCCCAATGTGAAGGACAGTGCCAAGAGAGGAATGCCATGGAGACTGACCATTTGGGACCACTTAGGAAACTGGACATCGTCTTAGCCGTTTTGAGGTATGACCTCATATTTCTGAAAACGTAAGAATCATCAAAGAGAGGAGATGTGGAAGACTTTGAAGGGAGGCACACTGCAGTTACATAGTTGGCTTAGACCACAGAGCTATGGGTTTGGAGAGCATGGCTGGATTTTAGGTGTTCATGATGGTGAAACTAAAGTTAATGGAGGGCCAAATCTTAAAATTCTATTTTGTGCAATGTTTTCGAAGTGGAATATCTTATCTGTAGATAGTTTCCTCTCTGTTTATCTATCTACCAAATTTATCTAACCTCAAAGAACTTCCATTTGGGGAGATCCTTGAACATGCCTTGTGTATTTTCATCTTCACTATTTACTTTTAGGAAAAGACAATTAGTAATGCAAAGCATGATCAAAGTAGCCAACTTAGTGAGACTACAAATGCTGAGAGACATCAATGAGGGGGGAGTCATTCAAACACACTCGCTCCTGGTCTCAGCTGGAGATAGGCTCAAAGATTGTGATTGTTAAGGTATTAGAAGTAAATGTTAATAGTGGGTTATCAATTAAGATGTCTAATAAAATAGTGAACCACCAATGGCTTAAACAAATGTAGATTTACTCTCTCACCCAGCAGAAGGTCCAGTGGTTGATGATTGCTATGTGGATATCAACTTTGAGTTGGGATCTCAGCCTGTTTCTTTCCCTTCTTTTCACAATCTCAAGATGGATGCAGCAGTTATGGGCATCATCTCCTCTCAAGACCTCATAAAAGTCAGAAATTGGGTAAGTCTGTCACTTTATATCTCTCTTCATCAGCAGAAAAATCTTTCGAAGGACTTCCCTCCAGCAGAATCTTCTTTATATCCCTTTGGCTGGAACTGGGTAACATCCTCACACATAAACTGGTGGGTCCATCTTCCCAGAAATCCAATAATATTCACCCTGTATCTGAACAAAACTGGGACATTGTTAGCAATAAAGGGGAAATGGCCTATGTATGAGCAAACAACAGTATCTGTGCAATAAGTTTAGGCATTTCCCTTTCCAGTTATCCTTTGCATTTAATGATGGTGATCACTGCATCAGCTTAAAAGTTCTTGATGGTAGGAATTTCTGATACAATGATTGGCCAACATTAAAGATAATTTGGGGCAGTGAGGCCTGCCTAAACTCACACTTCAGAAGCAACCATCTGCTTTACTTAGTCTGTCTACAAATAGGGACAAATCTGTCTTCCTTCTTTAAATACCTCCTCATAATTTGCTTCTTCTGTCCACCTTTCCAAGATTCACTGTCTCTCTGAGGAATCCAGCCCTATCTCTGTTTCCTTGGCTAGCTCACATTCTGCTGGCTATGTTTGGCCAAGCACCATCACTCCTACCAGGCAAAGAACTATCTCCTGGTTTTGTCTAAGAATGCAGCCTTTTCTTAGACTTTCCAAATGAATAATAACAATGATTCAAGTTAGCCTATTGTTCAGCAGATAATAAACTGGTCTTTCTTCTGTGTATGGACTCCAGAAATGACTGCTCAGAGGGATATCCAGAGATACATTACAATTAACTAAAATCTTTGGGACAATATTTTATTATTTGTGTATGATGTATGGGGGAAAAATGAAGTATGTAAAGACTGTTCTCTTCCCTCTTCCTCTTCTCTCTCTCCTGAAGCCCAACATCCTGTGAAACATACACCGGCTTTTCTATGTGATGTTCAAATCCCAGTATTTTTTTCCAAATGTGTCCTAAGTGCAGCTTAATAATTTTGAACATAATATAAAGGATAACATGAACACTGCATTGCATCCATCTTCCCCTATTTAATGCCCAGTGATAAAAGCCAAATGTGCTTCATTCTGGTGCTCATAAAACTCATAACAATGAAATGTGTTTACACATCTATACTTTGAGAGCCATCTCTAATGGGTGGACCATACTCATGTCTCACCAACTGCTGCTCCCCTTGTCATCTGAGTCTATCAGTGATCAATCACTTTAAGAGAGAAGCAATGTGAACTCTACCAATGAGACCCACTGGCTTGGGGACTTTACCTGCAGTCTTTACTTGTCTCTCATGAATTGGACTCAGTATTGGGTACTCAGGAAGGCACTCGGATGTCCAAGAGGATCACTCTATACAAAAGCACAGTCAGCACCATGTAATGTAGGATAACTTGAGTAGCACTAGAAGTTACTCCCTGATCAAAAGCAGTTGCTCTGAAAACCCCACTGCTATGGCCACTGTGGGCTAGTTAATACAGCATCCTATGCAACTAAGTAGATTGCCCATATTAATCTTCCTAAAGTCTAATAAAATCAAACATCTGTTCAGAAACCCTTGCTGGCTCCCCATTACCAAAGCTTTTAAAAGAACTATATGATTGAACCCGGTAAATCTTTTACTATTTTTTTCTTTTAACTAAACCAGATACAAACATATGGTTAAAATGAAGAAGTTAAACCAATTATAAACACAAATGTGACTTATTCAATAGCATCACAATGACTAGAGGAAAATTTGAGTTCTCAACAAACTGATGTACCCTCAAGACTCTCATTAATGCATTTTGTTATATCTTGATGTTAGTCTTTTTTTTATTGACTATTTTGAAGTTACACATTCTCAATCTAAAGATTTGTACCCAAGATGCTTAAATTAGGAAGATTGCTCTGCCTTTCTTTTGGAGGAAACAGAGATGTTTCCTTCATACAGGGAGGGCTTCAAGAATGATCTGAGGGTTCCAGGAAATTCTGAAGGCTTTTCCAATTCCAAAACCTGGGAAAATAGAGAAAAAAATTAAATTGTGCAAATCCAATAGCTCTGTCATTGATGGGCATCTCTATCTCTCCAATTTCCATTTGAATAAAGAAAGAACTCATGATACAAGATAAAAATAGCTTATTTTGAAAACAACTCCATATAAAAGCTTGGAAACAAACCCCAATAATTTTGTTCAGACTTGCTTTACACCCCTGGATATTTTAATCTAAAACTCACATCATGTATTTCTTCTTCCTCTAAAATAACCTCATTTCTTTATATATCAGAATTTCTTTCCCCTATTAGTAAAAATAAAATCATGTAGGTGCAATTTTGTTTTCTTTATACTTTGGGGACTAAATTTAACTAATTAACATTTTAATAACATTCCACCATTTGTTCCTGCAGAATTAGGGGCCTTGCTCAAGATGGATGAAGATATACTTTGAACCATCTGGAATTCAAGCAGCTTTGATTTTAAATAAGTACTTGTTTTCCTGTATGCTTGTGGACATTTTGGGGTGATTAACATATAGGCCATAAGGCAAACTATAGAAAGAATGGAATTTATTTATTTTTATTATACTCCTCACACTCAAAAGATTCTGAATTGCTTCCCTAAATGGGATTTAAATATTGGTGAGTATCCTGGCAGAACAGGCACTTAAGGTAATACTGTGAAATCTCACTGATTCAGAATGATTTGAGGGAAGGCACTCTGTATAGAAAAGCATTTGGTTTATAAGATTGCTAAGAAGAAACGTTTTTTATTACTTTACATGGGTTACATGCAGAAACCTAAAGTTAAAGCACTGTTGCTGACAGAGATGCCATGTAACTTGGTTTAATGAAGGACTAAGGACAAGTTCTATGTAAAGGACACACTGAAGACCACAGTGTGCGCAAGGCATAAACCTGGGAAGAAAGATGGAAGGCAAAGTTGGGTTGACATTGGGACAGGGGTATAAAGCCTTGAATATAATGCTAAGCTAGAGGATCTACAAATTAAATAAATGAGCCAGATGGCTCCATCTGAAATAAGCCCCAAGCCAGTTTAGGCCACCATGATAATTCTTTATCGTGGAACAGATAGCACTGGCCAAATGATCTTCCATAGTAATTGTGGTCACACAGTGAGAAAAGAGGTTGAGAAAGACAAAACAATATTAAATCATTTTTCTGAGACTTGACACTTGAGAAATTTTGTAATCTGCCATGACCCAAGTTCTAGGGCACCCCACTGGGTTTGGTGCCAAGCCATGTCCACAGTGACAAGTCTGCTAAAATGGAATGCCAAACTCTTGGAAGAGCCCAGAACTGACTCCTCAATTCCACGTGGAGCTATGCCAATGCACATGTCCCTCATCTCTGTTATGACCCATTACTTTATCACAATTCTTCCTAAAGTTCAACTTTAGCATAAATCTCCCTAGGATTTTTTCCATTTTTTCTTTTTCCTGTAACCTCTCAATTTTATTACTTTGCTTCTCTCCTTTTATCTTCATTCCTCTTAATATTTTATTTTGAACTTTGTTTGTCAAAATACAAATGCCCTTATTTTCTATATTTGTAAATGGAATACAACTATTGTATTGATATTGCAGCCATAGCTCACAAATGGGTGGTATCAAATGCAGTGGAGAGAGGGAGGGTGTGGGGAACACCTTCACCTCCCTGCATCGCATCCCCAGTGTGCTTAGGTATATTTCCACACAAAAGCTGGCTCCGTTCACCCCCGACTAGGTGGATTGACTAGGCATCCAATGGTAGAGACAAGGATCATTTTTACCAGGTTGTCCTACCTGCTTTTAGAGAGGGAGAAAAGCAGAATTTAGTTAACTAGGTAACTGACTTGAAGAGGGGTCCTTGTGTAGAATCCACATTTCATCCATGGTTCAAGACCTGACTTCACAAGCTCTTTACTAAACTGTATATTGACCCTTCCTTTGCTGCTGGCCTCTCAACCATGTCTTACCCGAGCTGAGAGTTTGAATAAACTCTGAACCAAGCAAAGGCAATTACCAAAGTTTTATTACCCTGCCTTTTATTATGGAAATATTCAGTCTACTGACTTTGATCAACAGCTAACCAATTTCATAACCTTAAAAAATGTTAATAGTAGGCATCTATCCCATTTTCGTTCATCAAAATTTTAGATCTTTAAAATCTTTTAACATTTTCTCTCATTTAATACAGCATGAAGTGCGCAGGGTAGATTTTATGGCAACTCATTTTCAAACAGTAAACTCAAGTGCGAAGAAATAAAGGGAATTATCAGAATCACACAGCAAGTTAGTGGCAGAGTCTAGTCTACATTCCAAGTCCTTGCCCCCTAAACTCATAATATTCCCAGTAGATTGTACCTCTCTCCTGTTACTGGCCTGTTATCTTAACCTTGCATGACATTAATGGTCACCTTATTTATTTCCTATACTATATATCAGAACACTTTACTTGTCCTCATTAGCTAATTAGCAAAACTACTTTTTCTTGAGTAATTCAAACCATGCCTTTCAAATTCATCTGCTAATAACTAATATAACTTCAATATAGAGAAGGAAACAGAAAGGAACTTTCTCTATAAGAATATAATTACTTCCATTTTAGAAGATTGAGTTTATTATAGATTCTATACACTTAAAATATTTTGAGATTATAAAACATCTTCCCTGGAAGGAAGGAGAGTGGGTGTGAAGGTCCTCAATCTAAGTAAGGATTCAAAGAATTTCTGGAGAGAAGGAAGAAGTTGGGGAGGGATAGAATATTAGTTGAATTTTGGACATGACAATCATCTGAGCTCTGAAATGAAATCTAAAACTGAGGATTCTCAGAAAGTAATCAAGTTCTGAGTAGAAGACAGAGAGAGACAGAGAGAGAGAATCCTTTGAAACAGGAAACAGTGAATGTTATGTGCTAATCCTGGTTGGAACCTAACTAATAGATAGTACAGTTTTCTGGGATGATGGTCCCTAGCTTTGGGTCCTAGGGCCAACGATGACACTCAGAATAGGCATGAGAATGATAGATGAGAAAGACTAGTGTCTCCTAAGATGATACGTCCCAAAGTATGTCCCAGAGACAAGAGTCCTGAGAGCTGCTCCTTCTAAATTGCTTCTTGGTCAAATAGTTGGTAAATACAAAGGGCTATCACCCCCTCCTAAAGACTCAAATGCAAACCAATATAATAATTAAAAGTCCTGCAGAAAATTAAAAAAACCTCCAACATTTTTAGCTACTTTTAATGACGAAGTGTTTCAAACATGCATAATAATAATACAGACATCCATATACCCACCACTCACATTCAATGCAGATTAACATTATGTCTTGGGGCTTGCTCCATATGCAATTGAATCCTCAAACCATTCTCACCCTTCCTCTTTAGAGGTAATGACCACACTGAAATTGGTGTTGATCCCCTCATTCATGTTTTAACTTTGGTTAATCCAGCATATCCCAAACATGTTTACTCACAGAAGCTTCTTCTTACGTAACATCTATTAACAGACCATGAAAGATCTGAAGTAAGTATATAATTTTGGAACACTGATTTAAGATTCCCATATGTCTTAAAAAAAAAAAAAAAAAAAAGAAGCTGGTGAATAAGCTTCAGGACGAGAGAAATGGGTCAGGAAAGAAAAGAAGTGAGTTTGGGGCCCGAATGAACAATAATTATTGGAGAAATCAAGCTGCAATGTGAGGTCTCCACTGGACAGTCTAGGGCTCAAGGGATGATTTCTTGAGCTAGATGTGAAATTGCCTCCCTTTCCCAGGGGATCAGCCAAGAGTAGGACTCAAGGAGGCTAATCTGGGGCCAGATGGGCTACTGCAGTGTTCACCCTGAGAAAAGGGAGAGACAGGTTCTGGGAGAAAATAAACAGACTGCAGACTTCTAGAACTAGCAGCAATCCAGATGCAAGCCCAGCCCCCAGGTAAAATCTACAAGCCCTGATCTAGTCTCCTCCATGACTAGGGTTCCTATGAGAGACTGGTTCCATAGTCATCTTCCTTAGGAAGCCTCCCCACCAACTCTGTATGCCTTCCATAAGTTGGGCCTCCCCTCCATCTCCCTCAGCCCCCAACAATTTTGATTGAAATTATTGGTTTAAATTTTAGTCCACCTCATCCCCACCACAGACCCAGGGAAATGATCTTATCATCCATTCATCTCAGCTGAGCTGGATTATTCTGAACTGAATTGAAGGGCAAGGAAGCATTAATGAATAAGATCTGACTGGGGAGTAAATCTGAGTTACGCTTGCCTCAACTTCATGCAGAGGTAACCCACATGCTGGGCTGTGTGCGGTGCTTCAACTCCTATCAAAACTGAGTAAATGGACTTCACCCCATTTATTGCTTATAAGGAATAGCTAACTGCTTTGAGTATTTTTGGTAGCCCCTTGAACCATTTTACCTTATCCAGCATTGCCACATTTGTTTCCCCTGTGAACGTGCAGTGTGAAGGAAAGAGCCATTTAGCAGTTCACGGGTCTGCAATCTGCCACTTACCAGCTATTTAACCTTAGGAGAGGGCCTCACCTTCTCTGACCAGGTATAGCATCCTCCCATAGGTTTTGTACCAGATTAAATGAGCTAATGCACATGATATGCTTATCTCAGTGCTTAGTAAGTGGCAGATCCACAAAATGAGAGCTATTTTTATTACTGGTATTATTATAAATAACTATAAAACCAAACAAACAAAAAGGCCTGTTTATTTAGAGTTAGCAAGAGATGGTTGTTTTGGAGGGTGGGAGGTGCTGTAGAAATCTGCTTGAAATGTTCCTGAGCAGAAGAATCAGAGTAGAATATACAATAGAAAAGAGGATAAGTTGGGCAAAGATTTGTGACCTAATGGGGTTAGGAAAGGGAACGGTTCAATGAATATTTAATTAACATTTCACTGGCCTTGGAGAGGGATATAAGCCTGTGGTTGATGTGACACATAACGTCAGTGTGGTATTGGATACTCCCAAGAGTAACTTTGTCCTAAACCTCTCTCCCCTCTAGAAACAGGAGTAAAGAATACAAGGCATGTAGATATTTCTTCCCAGTCTCCTGTCTCATCTCTCTGTTAGCCTGCAATATTATGAGAAGAGTATGCTGCTCCTTAATCCACTGGCTTATAAGGAGGGCCCTGATCATATTCCATATGAGTCATGGTTGAGGCAAGAGGATGGGAAGGAAGGTCTTGCATAACTGATGAAGGTACCAGATAGTCTGGTTCAAGTGTCCTCACCATCTCAGCAGTGGCACTTTTAGTATGCTTAAGCCACACATACCTTTGCACTACTCTGCATCTTCTGCGGTGGGTGGTTGTCCTCTCACTTCTTTACTCTCAACTCTCTATCTGAGCCCTTGGCACAATTCAAGTACCCCTCTTCTACAAATTCCTCCCTGAGCCCCTCAGTCCATGATCTTCTGTAGACAGTACTTACTGTAGGGAGCACAGGTTAGCAATTAATATCTATCTGTCTTTACTAGGGTTGTATGATCAGATTTACCCATGTCTCCTTCAATACGATTGTAAGCTCCTTTAGGGCAGAAGCCGTGTCATCTGAATTTCCTTAAGCAGCCAGCACAGAAGTGAGCACGTGAAAATAATTAATAAACGCTTGTGAAAAGGAATATTTTAAGACCTAAGCTAAAAACGAATGCCTAGAAAATTCTCTGGGACATAAAGAGCTTCAGAAAAATCTAAGTCCAAATACATTCACCCTTGCAAATGCATTTCAGAAGGGGCTCCAGCGCCGACCCCAGAGAGACTCCGAAGGTATCTGTCATGTGAGCTTGAAATGCAGCATTGTCATTATTCAGATGGAAAATAGAATCACTTATGAGATCATGGCTCATTGTCAATTCTCTATATATTTGCATTTATTGTGACAGATGCTGTCGAATCTCATCCTTGCTCTATTATTCTACAGAAATAGATTAGCCCCCTTATGCTATACAATAATAATTAAGATAATATCACCGATTAACTCTCTATGCCCCTTTCTATCTAGAAAGCTCAGAGAAATTGATGATTGCAAGCCTAAACTCTACTCCATCAGTTTCAACTGGACCCTCACTCTTTCCAAAAATTTCATTTTTGACTGAAATACTTCATAGGCTATTCACATCCTAAAGGGAATTTTTTTTCCAAAGTTTGGGATAATGGGTTTCAGCCATCTTGACTTAGAGCAGAATGAATAAATGCATTTTCTCCACAGAAAATTCGTAATGCCTTAAGCTGAGTTTGTGCGTATGACATATTCTTAACCACCTACTGAATTGCTTTCTCTTCATTTTTGAGGTTAAATGGGAGGCCTGGAGCCTATAGTGGAATTCCACCATATAGGCTGGTAGAAAATTTTAAAAATAATAAAGAAAAAAGAAATATAGTTCTAGTGTTATCAGGCAGCACAGTGAAAGCAGTAAAATTTCTGAAAACAGTAGAACTTTCTGCCATCTTTTTCAGGCCAAGTATCCATTGGTTACCTATTCTCCACAGCCCCATATATCATGGAATTGTTTATTCTATACTGAAAATATAAGTGATTGCATGTTTATGTTATCAAGAGTATTCATATTTTAAAGAGGAAGAAAGCACAATGATGTAATATGTTGGAATGGTGTCTATCATTTCTCTATTGTGTTCCATTTGGAGGCATTGTGGATGTCCCAATATTAATCAGTTGTTTGGAGAGAGGAAGCAAGCCAGGCCTGGATAGGATAGACGCTGAGGAATACTATCTGGTTACAGAGGATGACACAGCAGTGGGGAACTCAATGGTTGACTCCTGGACATCAAGTTAGGTGAAAAGACTGAGCATGAGGACCCAGGTCTTGAGAGAATAACACTTAAAGAACAAGGTGATATGTTAGCAGTGGACATTCTGAAGATGGTAGCACTTCCCAGATATTTTAGATTGGGATTTTTTGGGGGATAACCCTCAAATAATGCCAGATGGGTGACTCTCCATTATGCCTGGGCATGAACAAACATAGCCAACATAGCACAAGAAGTTTTAATTTTCCATATGCATATAACTCAGCAGAACCTCACATTGTCACTGCTTTACACAATATCTTCAATGTGAAAAGAGAGTGGAGGCGTAAAAGCTGTTTGCCTTTCCAGAAACCACTCCAGGACACAACTAAGACTAGAAAAAGCCCAATTCCACCACTACATCATAAAAACCTAAGCTGTATATTGAGAAGTTCATACACACCTGGAAAGAAGATTGTCTGGGAAGGAGAGGGCTCACCTGAAACCTTCAGCTCTTCCCCCTCAGACAAGCCAAAGGCAGCCCTTGGGCTTGGAAAATAACTCTGAGATTTCAGTAGAGCTGACTTCTCCCCTGCCTTGACCAACTAGTGGTGTCAAGTGAATCAGAATTCCCCTCACGCGACAGCAATTTCTGAATCTAAGTTTGTGTATCTAGAATAGTAGATTATGAAATTATACTTTCAGGCTCTAATATATTTCATTTCTGATTGCAAAAGAAGTTATAGAAGATTACTTCTGCTTGGAACTGCATCTGAGCTCTTCTAGGGAAGATGGAATTTGATACCACACCAATTCATTTACTTCTTTTCAACTGGATCTTCAGAATAGCAATTTTTGTATTTATTTATAATGTTTATCATTTCCCTAATGCTAATTTAATCTCTTTGAAAAAAAATCTTCAGGCTTGTAATAAATGATACACTGGGAAATAGGGAATTGATAATACTCACTGATTTTAAACTCTGACTGAAATTCCAGTTTAAATCTACACTTAGGAATTATTTATATCCTCTTATGTCATATCAATTTAAATAATATCCCACTCACTGGGGCATAAAGAATAATGCTAATATTAAAGTTTCTATTTAATATTTGCTAATTGCACATGAAGAGGTTATATCAGTTGCATTTAGGATGTTTTTAATTTAATTTTACTGTATTGGAAAATCCATGAGGTTAAGTCTCCTGAAATTATTGCTTTTAAATATTGAATAATAAGAATATTGTCCCCATGATGCACCCTGAATCATGTGGCCTTGGATAAGCTTTCTCCCTGTTGCAAAGAGAGAGGAATAGCAGAGTGCTTAGTTTAATATTGTTAATAAATAAGAATGATCATACTCCCATTTTAAAATACCAAATCTGTATTTAAAAAGCTGTTTTTTCATGAAATATGTCCATCATCGACAGGGTTATAGACTTTTTTAGAACCAAAATCTCATGAAAATGAAATAAATGTTATTGCTGCAAAGTTGGCTTCTATCCTAAAGGGATGCATATAAACCACAGTTAGTGTCCTACCTCAAACTCTTCACTTGATCTTCGATTTTTCAATCGTTCAATAAACTTCAATTGAATGGCTCCAAAGTGAGGCAGAGCAGTGAGGATGGAAGGAGACTTAGGCCCCATATCAAGACACAGCCACACACCCTTGTGAGCTGTGTGCCCTTGGGTACGTTGCCTGACTTCTCTGCGCCTTGGTAGTTCCTTTGTCTGTAAAATGGAAATAACAATCCTATTTTGGAGGGCTTTTTTTTTTTTTTTGTAATGTTGGGAAACACATGCTTTTAAAGTCTCTAGTCCATAATAGTGTAAATAAATGGTTATATAATACTGTGCATGGCTCTCACCAATCTATGGGTACAAACTGGTCACAGTAAAATAACTTAGATTCCACCAGCTCTTTTTGTGACCTACTCATGTAGGACATCTAGACTCCAACAGAGCACCCTTCCCTGATATAGTCCCTCTGACATTCCCAAATGTGCTAATCATTAAATATGACCATTAAATATTATGCTGCATTCAGTTCTACATCTGCCATCCCCCTCCTGCTCCTGCCCGATCAACACCCACGCACTGTGTTTTCCATAGAGTTCATCTTTCTGTGACTAACTCCTTTTGACCCCATGGTGATGGTGATTTCTCTCCCTAGAGATTCCCAGACTTGAGCAGACCATGCCCAGACCTCTCTGAATTCCACTTAGATTCTATCTGGGACTCTCCAGAGGAGAGACTATGGTGTCTATTAAGCTACTGCTGTGTCCAGCAGAACGTCCCCATAAACAGAGGTGTTCACTCTCTGATGGGGGAAATAAGACATTAACACAATAAATGGAATATAATGTACTTGGAAGTATATTATGCATGGCATAAGCATGACATGAACCAAATTGAGGGAAGAGAGGAACCGCTGTGTGTTGAGACTATCAGGGAGAAGTTCAAGGAGGCGACTAGTTTTGATCTGGATGTAAAAGAGGGAGTAAAATTTTGGCTGAAATGGAAGGATAAAACCTGATGGCATTGCAGATTGGTGAAGTGTTTCTCTAGGGCAGAAGGCAAATGTGAAAGGATATTGCAAAAGAGGGTTGGACAGAAGTAAGGAAGAAAAGAACTATGGTGGTGGCAATGACGATGATGCTGCAGGTGCTGCTGGTGGTGGTAATGGTGAGGATGCTGAAATATTGCTCTATTTTATTCTTATCTACCATCAGTAAAACATTAGTTTCCATTATAGAATTTGTTCCACCCTGAACTGTCCACACTTCCTTTTTGGTTCTCGTTACTATGCATAGACTACATTTACAGCATAGCGATGTAGTAGTAACAAAGTGGGAGTAGCGATGAGTCACATAACAATGCCATCCCATAGTGTAACACCCCACCCTCAGCAAAATAAGCAGAAAAACTGATGGACAAGGTATGGTTTGAGGCAGAAGTGGTATGTCCCTTCATAAGAAAACCCTCATGTTTTCTTTGCTTTTAGTTTCCATATTGATAATACTTCAGTGTTAGAAAATAACCAGAACTGTGACTTGTTTCATCATTTACATAGCTAGTTTCATGGACCCCAACACTTCATGTTCTGTCACATTTTAGGTAGTTATAATGCCCCTACTCCCCAAATGTTGCCATTTTGTTATTGGAATATGGGAACAGTAGTGACTGGTAAATTCTTATCACCAGGATGGGAGAGCATTGTCATATCCTCCTGCCTCCATTCCTCCTATGCTACAGTTGTTCAGAATTAGGAAAAATATCTCTCTCCAGAAAACTATTCTTAATTTCTCATGGCATTACACTTTTTGTGGAAAGATAATCCAACAATTCTCACACATCTGCATGCTTTTCACAAGGGGACATAAGGGAAAGAAATTCCAAGAAATGGAGCCCCAATGGTGGAATTGTGTGGCAGTAAGATAATTGTTTAAATATCTAAAGGGAACATGTTCTACAGGGTACAAGCATCACACTACATAGAAGTTACAGCTAACAAATTTAGATCCAATACACTTAAGAACATTCTTATAATAACATCTATGGGAGGAATGTAGAGAGAGTTCCAGCACTGAATGGAGGCTTCAAAAGGATCATCTCAAGGGACTCCCTAGATCTGTGAATCTCTGACAATTTCAAGCAACATGACTACCAGCCAAGGGGAAGATATTTTTGGCTGGAGAAGCTTGTGAGAGTTTTTCAAATGATAGGAAATAGGAGGCTGCTGTCACACATCACAGAAGGCTAGAACCAGGCCTGGGTCTCCAACATGCAACTATAGCAACGTGTACCAGGACCATACCATGAGGCATTCCTTATAAGCAGAAATCTTTAATATTAAGTAAGGTAATATATGAGTTTAGAGAACACATAGAAGGAAGATTTCTGGTTCATAAGATTAAACATGAATTCTGCTTCAATACATGGCTTATATAATGAAGTTCAAAAACGTCTGTGTGGACACATCTATAGTTAATATTTTTTAAATGCCTTAATTTGGAAGGTCATAGTTGACTGAAGAACGATAGCTTCGACTTAATAAATGCTAATATTGACCAACCAAGAAATCAACAGCTGCTTAATAAATTAAAATAAAATACAAATATATCAGACTTATTCAATCAGATTATTATATTTAAACTACTTCCAAACTACGACATTTGCCAAGAAAGTAAAGAATGCCAAATGCTTAATTAGAAGTATATTATCAGTGTGGCCGTTATTCAGAACCAATCTTCCATAAATAAATAAAGAAAGAGGAAAAGAAAGAGGAAGAAAGAAACAGATTTTTGCCCCAACTCAGTGAGCACAAAGGCAATGATGAGTATAAGAAGGGACAACACAGCTTGCCCTCCAATTACAAATGTAGGCAACACCTTCATGGTGCAATGGTGGGATACTACAAAAGGGTTATGTCTGTACACATACATATGCATACATATGTATAAACACACACATTTAGGGATGAGCATTTAAAAATAGAGACTTTAATGGAGGCTCAGAAAATTCTACCACTGAAATTCAATTTTCTGAGTTGAACCTGTGTGTCTAAAACACTGCTGCGAGAGGAAAACTAATACTGGCTATTATTGGTTACTAACATATGAATGTGAATTAGTTTATCAAAATAATAAACATCACTAGCAATGATAGATTGGGAAATTTTAATGCAAATAAGGGAAGAACAAAATTGAGGGGAGAGAGGGAACTCCATGAATTGAGACTATCAGGGGGAAGTAAAATATGCACATTTAACATGGTTAAGATGGCACAACGTTGTGCCTGGGGCACTATGGTATTGCAGCGGGGCACTTATTTCAATATTTTGACCCACACTTGATCTGCAGACCAGCATAGTTATATTAACAGTCTTCTTAAATGACTTGTTATCTTCTCTCCAAAATGTGAATGCTTCCTAGATTTTCTGCTTGAGAAATGCTACCACCATCTATTCCCGCTGCCTGGAACCCTCTCTCATGCAGCTCTTCCTCATGTCCTCTCTTTTCCATACCCTACTATCTCTTAATTGAGGGGAAAAATGAGATTCCCTCAATCTCCACATTCTTGTCATTTATCAACTAGATTATTGCTTCCCTACTTAATTTCATACCGCCATCAGAATGATTGATTTAAAATGCAAATTAAAGATCTTTGTTTCCTTGGGCAAAAGGTATGATTTGGCTGGCAAAGTAGCGTTAAAAAGGATAATGGTGGAGGAAGTAGGAATAAGAGAGGTTAAGCATCTAATTTGGGTGGTATCAGAAAAAAAAAAGGCCAACTAGAATTCTACCTTAGATGAGGCCCTTCCTCTCACTGAGCTGTCGAGGGAGCCAGACACAAAAGGAATGGTTTCACAACACACGTAAATTTACCCATTTATTAATAGCTGAGGACACCTGAGACATCAGTGTAGGTGAAAGGTGAATGAAAGCATGTGCTTAGTCATGAAGTTCAAGAGGGACTCCTCTTGTGCCCCTTCATAGCCCCAAAGCTTGGGGCAGGTAGGTTGAGTCACACTTACAGGGACAGAGAAAGACAGAGTTACTAGTTTTACAGAGCAGTCCTGACCTAAACAATCTACCCAAGTCTTCACTTTAGAAGATGAAAGAGAAATGGAGAGTTGTGGCTTGCTTTCCCCAAGACACAAAACTGCCCAAGAATGAGAAGTGATATACCAGAGAAAACTCAGAAATTTGGTACTGTGACCTACATATAAAGAAAGTCGGACACCAGGCATGTTTTGAGCTCCGACCCACCCAACAATGATAGGATGGTTAAGAAGGGTATGTGCAGAGGGTGTGGAAAGAGAGACAGAATCTCCCTTGTGTCTCAAATGATGCTGCTACCTCAGGCAACATCCCTGCCACTAGGAGCCACTATGTCTTGAGTGCTCATTCCCAATGAAGCCAAGGCCCCCAGGAAGCCTCACCTCCCTACTTGTAGTGAGTCATCACTCCTCACAAAATGTCTACGTAGTGAGCTCTATCTGTTGGTACTTCTTTTTTTCAGATGAAGAGATTAAAGATTAGAGGTTAAAGAACAGGCAGGGTTGAATGTAGACAGTTGTGGAAATTTAAGATATTTTATAGTTTAGGGGGAAATGGTGTAGCCAAGCAAGGCAGCAGGAACAGTGGGGAGAGGCCCTAGATACTTGCCATGGGGGGATGCTGTGGCCAGAATGTGTGTATCTGGACACGTGACATGATTGAGGGTGTGGTTCTGGAGCGAATCTGTTAAAATGGATCAAGAGAAAAGCTGCTGGAGATGGAAAATCAAAACAACAGGAGATTTGCAAGTCTTGAGTCATCCACATGCTGGAGAAGCCTCCAGCAAGTCAGCAAAGTGCTTCTCCCAGTGTTATATCAGATCAGGATCTCCCACCCTGACATCCATACACCAGCACATTGCGTCTTGTCCTGAAAGAGCCTTCCCTTCTCAGTGGGCTCGCCTTCCCCACTCAGGGCTCACACATTAGCAATGCCCTCCCACAATTTCAAGTTGCACTAAAGGCACCTTGAAGCCTAAACACTAATGTGTATCAAAATGGCTGCAGTACTACCTCTAGTCCCATTTGAATTGAAAAATACCCAAACTTCCATGTCTGGTTCAATGAATTAATAAAATCCGCCTGCATAAGAAGACTTCAAGGATGATGTGAACACTTTGGGGCCTCCCAGTATTCCTCTGGTCACTGTGCCTGCAATTCTCCCATTGAA